CTCCCTCCCCCTCCCTCCGGGCTCCTGAACTCCAGCCCCTCTCTCTCTATCAGCCGCTCACTCTGTCTCAATATGTCTCAAGATGGCGGCCAATGTGGGATCGATGTTTCAATATTGGAAGCGCTTTGATTTACAGCAGCTGCAGGTCAGGCTCCCCCGCTCGCCGCACCGGCCGGGCCGCGCCGCCGGACCCCCCCCTCCCTCCCTTCTCCGCCTTCCCTCGGGCCCGGCCTCCCCCTCCTCCTCCCGCTGCCGGCCCGCGCCGCCTAAAGGGAACCCCCCGCTCCGCCCGGCCGCGGCGCTCCGCTCCCTCCGCCCCCCCCGCCATCGATCACCGGCCCCATCGGAAATTGATCCTCTTTGTTCAATTCATCGATCAGCCCAAGATGGCGCCGGAGCCGCCGCTGCCGGGGCTGCCGCCGCTTCGCCCGCTCCGTCCCGGGCTGCTCTTTCCCCGCTCCGCGCTCCCCCCCGGCGGCGGGGCCGTGCGGGGCGCCGGGCGCGGCGGGACTCCCGGCGGCCGCCGCTCATCCCCCGCCCGCCTCCTCCCTCTCCCTCCCCGCCGCCTGCCCCCTTCCCGCCGCCGCGTCCCCGCCGCTTTTCCTCCGCCGGGAGCCGGGGAAAGTTTACCGAGTGCTGGGACTTTGTGTGGGGGCGCCGGGCGGGCTGGCGGTGCAGGCGCGGAGCGGCGGGGGCTGGGGGCGCTGTGGTGCCGGCCGGGCGGGCGGGCGCTCCCCGCCGCCGCCGCGGGGTGCCGGCCCTCGCTCCGCTCTGCTCCGCTCCGCTCCGCCGGGCGCGGGGCTCCGGCCGCCGCCCTGCGACCGCCGCGGGCACCGCGCCGGGCCGCGCGGGGAGGGGACGCGGGGGGAGCCGCCGGGAGGGAGGGAGCGAGCGGCGGAGAGTCCCGCGGGGTGGGAAAGGGCGAGCGCCCGGTGCGCGGAGAGGGGGGCTCGGGAGGGCAGCGGCGGCGCCGGGCGCGGGGAAGGGCGCGGGGGCGTCCCGGCCGGCGGGGGCATCGCGGCGCATCTCCCCGCGGCGGCGGAAGGGCACGTTACATAATTCACGGGCTCTCCAGCCTCTCCTGCTGTCCAGGATCTGACAGATGAGCGGAATATTGATGCTTTACTGAGCTGGCTCGGGAGAGCCCAGAAGTGCCGTTTCCTGCGAGGGAAAGTCCTCGCAGACCGGCCTCTCTCCCCCTGCCCCGGGGGAGCGTCCCCGGGGGAATTGCGGCCCCACGGTTTAATTGAGTTGCCGAGCTACAGATAAGGCCGGGGCGGGCCGGGGGGTTGTCAGACGCTGTATCGGTGCTGCTCCCGCCGTGAATGGGATTGCAACACGCGTGTCTCCCAGTTGATTGGCGCAGGAAGGCGCTGCCCTGCCTCTCCAAACCCGCCGCTGCCTCCCGTTTAAATAAATTGGCTCGAAAGCTCGGCGGCTGCCCACCCTGGCCCCCGTGGAGGCGGCGGTGGAGCCGGCCGGAGGCTGCGGCAGGCGGAGGGATGGTGCGCTGATGCTGGGCAGAGCCGCATTCCCGCTGGAGGTGAGGGGATGCTGGCGGGGCGCCGGCAGCGGGACCCGGCTCCTGCCGCCCTCCCTTCCCCTCGGCCGGGCGTGCGGGAGCGATGCTAAAACTCCCACCCCAGCAGCCCCCGAAACGGGAGGTGCTGCGTGGGATCTGTGCTGGGAGGCCGGTCCCTTCCGACTTTCAGGTGCATTAGGAGGTGGGGTAAAGTAGCGTTTTGTTTTAGGTTTCTCTGTCGTCTTCCACCCCCTTTCGCGTTTTATTGTTTCTTTTAAAGGTTTTGGATTAAGGTAGACTTGGCTGAACTTTGCTAACTTGAAAGGGTTCTTAATAGTGACCCGGAATACCTACAGGAATACAGAAAATGAGATCCAGATGTAGAATTGTATAAAATAAAATGGATTAAATTAAGACATAGTTAAACAAGGTCTGACATCTCTAATTGTGGACTTTTGCTTTTGCCTCTGTGTACGTGTGGCTGTACTTTCTTAGTGTAGGAAAATAAACGCTACCACGGCGTTACATTTAACAGTGAACAAGTCTAAATATTGCCTATAAAAATAAAGCCTTCAGAAATGCTTATTGATTAAAACATATTATGCTAAAGTATCTATCATGTAAATTAAATTCTAAAATGTAATGAACACAACCAAATGGCATTTTGATAGATTGTTCTATTCTGTTTTTAGTAAAAAATAGCTCACTTTTATCATAATTTAATTTCTGTGCATACTGTAAAACCTGTTGTGGAGTATCACTGTACAAACCTTAATCTCGTTTTTGCAGACTAAATGTGACAGTCTGACTTGAACAGCTTGTAGCTTCTCCTTTGAAGCATTCTGGTAACGCCAGCTTAGAGTTGTTTGAACAATATTCATTACCTGCTTTTGAGGACTGGTGATTATTTATCCGTGCTGCGGATTGAGGCTGTTCACCTGTTGGCAGGTTCACCAGGCAGGCTGTGAGCAGCACGGAGTTTAACTTTGCATACACTCTGTCTGCAGAGAGCCCTGGAGTGACCTGGGAGGGAGAGAGCACCTTCCTCCCTATGCAGAATAGTTAATTTGTTTCAAATTATTTTTTTTTTCTGCACGAAGAGGTAGTGTAATATTTACTCCCACTTGCAGATGAAGCAATGTGCTATAAAAACTATCATTCCTGGGGATGAAGTTCAGTCCCACAGAGCTGTCCATGCCTCCCTCCGTCCCCGTCCTTCACTCGCACTGACGTATTTCAAGCGTGGAATTGTAGAAAATAAAAATACTTCCGCGTACGCTCTGTTCCAGCGCAAAAGCCTGAAGGATTTATGCTTAACACAATTCCACCTGAGCCCTGTGAACTCCAGCTCGTGTAGCTCAGGGTGTGAGTGCTTTGAAGCTCTCTGTGCATGAGAAAGTTGTGAGGAGCTGGGACTGGGCAGTCCCAGATCGCTGGCAGCGAGCGCCGGGTACCCGGCTGCTCCCAACTTCCTCTTCCACCTTCTGTTAGAAGGAGACGTTTAACTGTTGATGAGCTTCGACCTGCCTTGTAATATTAAGCAGCAGGTTTCTCCAGATTGTCTCAATATTAATTAAAAACAGAGCCAGGAACACTTTAGGGTCTGACTTTTTAAATTATTTATTTCCTTTCGCTAAATAACCCCTTGTTTGTAGGGAAAGATGTTTCAAGTGCTGGAGACATGATTAAATAATTCAGAACTTGGATTAAAGAACAAAAAGGTCTGTTCACAAATGGAATATGAGATGCAAAAATGGCAGCTTCCTACAGGTATCAAACGGGGCTCTTCACTGGAGACTCTACCTGCGAGGCACACAGCTGAACATTAACCCTTTTCTGTAATAAAGGCTGGCATGATTCCTAAAGAAGCTGTGGGATTGGCATGGCATTGCTGCCTCAGTTTGCTGTGTGCTGGTAGATGGACCCATGTTTGATGGGGAGGGAGTCGCAGCGCTCAGAGAAAAAGACCCTTGCAAACAGCAAATATTGTGGCAGTAAATGCAGATGAAATCGTTGGAGATCTGCTGCTGCCCTCGAGTTAAATCTGCACGTCCCGTTTGGAAGCAGTTGTGTGATTGGAATCGGTTCAGCAGCGTGAAGGTAACCTGCTGTTCCGTGGTCCTGGTTTGTTTGTAGTTTTTGGTGTCACCATCACCTTCACTCTAAAAACAACCTTTAGCTGAAGATCAGGAAAGGGAGCGTTGTGTTCCCGTGGGCACAACACACAGCTCTCCTTGACAGCTTGCTTAATATTTCTGAATATGTGTGTAGATATCAGTACCAGAGGAGGCAGCTGGTCTCTCTGACCAGCAGGAGTAAGTCTAACTTGAGCCACAGCTCTGAGTTGGATGTGAGGACAAATGGAAGAAGTTAATACCCTTTGAGAACTTAAACTATCTGGAGTTATTTTGACAATAAACACAAGTTCTCAAAATATCATTGTAGCTTTTTAGGACAGGCTCAGTAAAAAGTACAGTTTCTTACTGCTTTGGAGAAGAATGGCAGAACTCGTTACCATCAAGCTGGAGAGTGAAAATCTAAAGGCAAATCTTGCTAATGTTTTTGTTTTTTAAAATCTCATCCTGGTATTGCATCATATATGATTGAAGTAAGGATGGAGTATTAGTTCTGTGCAGGCTGTGACTTAATTGTTTAAAGTAAACCATTGATCTTATAAAATCTGTAACAAAATCTGGAAAAACTAAGTTGTAATGAATAGCTTTTAAATACTGAAGTACTTCTTTTACTGAATTAGAAACAGGTGGAGTTGTTGGCATCTTTTGGTCTGATGGTACCAGAGCACAAGCTGATCTGTGAGGAAGTTCGTATGCTTTATCAGAAGTGGAATTAGTGATCAGATCTGAATGTTTAATTTTTTGTATCTGTGCAGGTCATTGCGGAATTATTTGTCCTAAAAGTAGCCAGTGGTTTTCTGTTTGTAGTGGGAGCTGAATGTGCATGTGGAGAAGAGTCTCCAGCTGCTGTACTCAGGTTTCTGCTCCCCTCACCTGCTCGGAGCGGTGTGGTGAAAGCAGCTGAGTGTTCCTGCAGGAAGATGCAATTCAGAGAGGGGAGGGATGGCAAAGCCAGGGCACTGCTGCCAAGATCTTCTCAGAGCAATCACTTCTCCCCTGCAGCAGGAAAGCTTTGGCAGCTTGTGGTGGTCAGGGTGATGTCCCTGGGCACTAACCGCACGTGACATACCAGAAGAAAGGCCCTTGATGTACTTCTGGCGCAAGAACTTGTCTTTCATAGGATTCCTTGAGTCCTGGTCCTTGGGAATAAATCTCTGAGAGCTTTTCCATCCCTTGTTCTGTTGCTGGAATGAAATAATGCCCATCAGAAATGTGGCAGAGTCAATGCGTGCTTTGGTCACTGCTCTGATGCCAAGTTTGTGCTTAATTGGATGACGTATTGAGAAGTGCAGTAGGGAGGATTTGGGATATGGTAGTGGTTGGGAGTTCTCTGAAAAAAAATTGCACTGGCTGGCTGTGTCTTAACAATACCATATAAGTAATGGGTGAAACATTTGCTAGAGAAGAAATTACATGCAGTCTAAAATTCCAGTGAACAGTTATTCTTTATTTGCAAGCTGATTTGTAATGCAAAAAGTGGATGTAGAA